TTTACTTGCTGGTATTGCAGAGGGAAAACCCAGGTCAGTGAAAATACATACACACAACATCAACAAGAAAATGCAGTGTGCACATGAGTAACAGCATAGCGGAAGGACCCGTGGAAGGGCTGGCCTTGGTCCTGTACCTACCTGCTGTGTGACCTTGGGCAAATTCTTTCTCCCCACATCCTTATCTAGAACATCATCCACTATAACATGCTTTCATTAAAAAGGAAAATAAAATGAAATAATCCCTTTTAATATATGATGGTAGGAAATGTTATATTAAGTATAGAGCAGAAGTGAATCATTTTTCTAAAACAGGATACTGATGGTTGAGGAAGGGGGAAAGAAGTCATCATTTTTAGATGCTCTTTAACAAAAATCAGTTGCTGTCGAGTCAATTCAAACTCATGGCAGCCTCATGTGTTAGAGTGGAACTGTGCTCCATAGGGTTTTCGGTGGCTGATTTTTTGGAAGTAGACCATCAGGCCTTTCTTCCAAGGCACCTCTGGGTGGACTCAAACCTCCAACCTTTCAGTTAGCAGCTGAACACATTAACCTTTGCACCACCCAGGGACGCCGACTGCTCATTGCCCTGGATTTTTTAATAGCTGACCTTGCCCAAACCTCAAAAAGGACAATTCAAAGAGAGGGATCCCTTTTCTTAAGCTCCCGGAAATTATTTCAGGAGCTAAAGTGATTTGAAAATTGGGTTTCTGCCAGGTTCTTCCAAAATAACTAAATGAATAATTAAATACAAACCTTATAGAAAGATACCTGACACTCTATTCAGGGACAAATAAAAACACGTGCATGGTGATGGTAGCACAACATGGTGAATATAACTAATGTCACTGAATTCTATACTTAAAAATGGTTAAAATGGCAAACTTTTTGTTATATATATTTTATCACAATAAAATTTAAAAAAAAAATAAGCCCCTCTCACCAAAAAGAAAAAAAAAGAAAACAACAACAACCGTAGACAGCTTAAAGTTTTAGGACCTGATTACTACCTGGAACTGGAGCCCTGGTGGTGCAGTGGTTAAGTGCTCAGCTGCTAACCAAAAGACTGGCAGTTCAAATCCACCAGCCGCCCCTTGGAAACCCTATGGGGCAGTTCTACTCTGTCCTATAGGGTCGCTATGAGCCAGAATCGACTCGACAGCAATGGATTTACTACCTAGAGCTGGTGAGAAGAAGGGAAAATGGTGACGGTCACCAGGAAGCAGCGGGGCTGCTCCCACTGCGAGCTCACCCAGGGTTCTATTTGGGGGGGCGATGCCACATGCCTCACCCCAGTTCAGTTCCCTGATGTTCCCTAAACTTCCGGGCAGGGCCCCCCTCCTTCATGTCCAGACCCCACAGACCCTCACTCTCCTTCCTGGGTCACCAGCCTGCGTGGCTAAACCTCTCTTACCTCAAGACTCCCAACACAGAAGGGGAGGTTTTGGAAGTGTGGGGTTGGGGGAGCCCCAGCACCTGTGGGCTACTGTCATTTTATCAGGGCACTTCACCTGACTTTTCGCTTGCTCTTCCTCCTCCACGAACAAAGGTTGTTACATCTTAAAGGCATGTGCCTGGCCAGGGCTCGGGAATGGCCAGGGTCACAGGCAATGACTTTGGGGGTGGCCAATTCAACTGATGGGAGCTGGACGAGCCTCTGGGCTGGCTGCACCAGACATCCCCCACCCTGCGATCTCAACAATCCTGTGAGGTAGGCACTATTATTATCCCGCTTTGACAGAGGAGGAACTGCGGCTCGGAGAGGTAATGAGACTGGTCTGAGATTTGAACCCAGACCTGGCTGACTCTGGGACCTGGGTCCTTCCCCTGACACTGAGCATCTTATTTAATCATGATCACGCTGGGATAAAGACTATACGCGACGTTTTTCAGCTAAAAGAGTTAACTGCCAACTCATGAAAATGCTGTTCATTTCAGAGTTTGTCTTAATTTCAAGGCTGCGGCTGAGGGATTCTGAACCTGCTGCATTCCATTCAGTCCACACATGCAGCCCACAGGGTAGGTACTATGAGTCAGAGGTGGCTTTGAGCCTGGGTATCTTACCCCAGGGCCCACTTGCACTAACCACATACTTCTTTCTAAATAAAATGGGATCCCTCTGAACAGCAGTCTTCTATAACCTTCATTTAGAAGTATGTCGGCAACTATTTTTGCCACACCATGTAACGTTCTCACTAGCTTCGTTTCTAAGGGCTGTATGCGAATGCCAAATCTTGGGAACTGTTTCAAATCCAAGGAAAGGCCAAGTCCCAACACCTGCTCCAAGATGAACCTAAAGGGGAACAGAGGGCAGAGATCTCAACAGATAGTATGAAGTCAATGGATGTAAATTTTTAGCTAGCCCTTGTCAGGTGAGAAAAAAATGCAACTTTTTATAACCATATGAAAGACAAAAGAGTTGTTCTGATGCCAGAAGCTATGATCCCTGTATTTTAAATACCAGCAGGGTCACCCATGGTGGACAAGTTTCAGTGGAACTTCCAGACTAAGACAAGCTAGGAAAAAAGGCCTGGTGATCTACTTTTGAAAATCAGCCAGTGAAAACCCTGTGGATCACAACAGAATACTGTCCAGTATAGTGCTGGAAGATGAGCCCCCTCGCTTGGAAGGGACTACACCATAGCCGCAACAATCGACTCAAACATACCAATGATCATGAAGATGGTACAGGACCAGGTAACATTTTGTTCTATTATACATAAGGTCGCCATGAGTTGGAGCCGACTTGACGTCAGCTAACAACAATGAAGACAGAAGAAAAATTCAAAGTTGGAGTTTAATCCCAGGACTAGTCTGCCAAGTCACAGACTACATGCCAACAGAGTTTTGTGACAACAGAAATTCTACTGCTGCTAAAGAGCAACAGCAAAATGGCTTTTCATCCATCCATCCACCCATCATCCAGCTATCCATCCATCCATCTATCCATTCATTCATTCCTACACTCATTCACTCATCAATTGCTTTGCATGTCCTGGGAATGCAGAATTCTGCCTTTGGCAAGCTTGTGTTGCTCCTTTTATTCATGCACTTGACAAATGTTCGTTGAGTCTCTATGAAGCAGCACTAGGCTAGGCAGTGGGGAGCAGAAACCTTGATGAGTACGGACAAATATGGCCCTGCCTTCATGGTGCGTGCAGTCTAGCACCAGGAGACAGGTGACAACCAAGTAAACAAATAAGGAAACTTATATGAGACACTATCTCAAGGAGTGAATGTTGTGAAGACAACAAACCGGGCTGATTGATCAAGAAACTGAGGCAGGGGAGGGGAGGAGGGGAGGGGTGAAATACTTGAAAGGTGGAGGGGGACAGGGAGGTGACTTTGATAAGCCAGCAGGCAAAGAGCTGGGGCCGAGGCAGGACCAGCTACATAATTTGCAGGGCCCAGAGCAAAATGAAAAGGCGGGCACCTTGTTCAAAAATCTTTAGGAATTTCGAGAAGGGACCACAGAGCATGAAACCAAGCTAGAGGCCCTAGCGGTGAAGTGGTTAAGTGCTTGGCTGCTAATCAAAGGGTTAGCAGTTCAAATCCATCAGCTGCTCCTTGGAAACCCTATGGGGTCACTATGAGTTGGAATCGACTCAACGGCAATGGTTTTTGTTTTTGTTTTGTTTTGTTTTTTGGGGGGCCTTCTAAGCACAAGACCCTGAATGACTGACCACAGAGGGGGCACACACAAGAAGCCAGCCCTGGTGGGAGGGCTGGGGTGGGGGAGGGGAGCATTTCAGTGCAGAGGGAACAGCGAGCGCAAAGGCCAGAATGGTGATGGGACAGTGAGTGTTCTGGGATAATAAGGTCACAGCAGGAAGGAGAAGGCCCTTTGAAGACTGCTTCAGAAAGAGCTTCCTCCCGAACCACAAAACTAAACACATGTGTTTTCCATCTATTCCAAGCTGATCTCACAATTGGCAGCCTGGAGGAAGGGGCCAGTGTGGGCCACCAGGAGGTGGCCTTCCAGAGAGGAACAAAAAAACTCCAAACCAAACTCGTTGTGGTCAAGTCAACTCCAACTCATAGCGACCCTATAGGACAGAGTAGAACTGCCCCATAGGGTCTGAGGGAAAGAAGGCTAAAACAGAAGGGAGGTTCTCTCTGCTGGCAAAGTTGTGGTTGATGGCTCTTCTCTTATCACTGCTTTCCTGCATGTCCCAAATGGTCTACCTGGAACTTCTACGTTACATTTGTAATTTGGGGTGGGGGGTGGGGAAGGTTTCTAATGTAAAAAGCCACGGATTGTGTCCCTGGGATAGTCCCACCTGCTAGGGACCTATGGGTATCCGTTGCCAAAAATCACAGGAATGGGTGTAGGTTACCTTATCCAAGTTTCTGCTTTTTTAGGCCTTACAGGGGAAAGCATGTTTTCTTGTTGCTAGTTCCATGTCGAATGAACGAATGGATGAACAAACTGATGTCTCTTCAGGAGGCGGGGAGAACCTCCCTCCTGGTCAGCCTGAGCTCCTTCTGTTTAAATTATAACTATTTACACACAAGTTTACCTGCCCCAGCTAGGCTGAGATGGTCTAGAAAGCCAGTTTCCTGGCATGGGGCCCTGTACACATAGTAGGTGCTCATAAATGATTTTGAAAAGAGGGAAGGAAGGGAGGTGGAAAGGCTTATGTCTTCTACTTTTTATACAAAGAAAACAAAAAACAAAACCTATTGCCATCAAGTTGATCCCGACTCATGGCAACCCCAGGTGTTACAGAGTAGGACTGCTCCATGGGGTTTTCTTGGTTGTAATCTTTATGGATGCAGACCACCAGGCTTTTCTTCTGCGGCGCTGCTGGGTGGGTTTGAACCACCAACCTTTAGGCTAGGAGTTCAGCACAAACCATTTGCATCACCGAGGGACCACTTTTTACATAGCTCTCCCCAAAGTGTTAAAGTGTCGCGGATGGCTTGACTGAGCAGGTGAAGGGAAGGGGAGGGTGCAGGCCCACCCAAGCTCTGCACGGGAAGGAGAAAGGGCACCTTACCTCATAGTAGGGACAGTGGTATCAGGTTCGCCTGCAGTCGGAGCAGCATCTAGGGACAGGGTCGCCAGGCTGGCCCGGCTGCCCTTCTGGGAAGATTCTCGGAACGAGCTGGCGCCGGGGTCTTCGTCAGAGGAGTTGTCATCAAAGGAACCCAGGATGAAGTTGGTCATCAGCTGCCTCTTGATGTGAGCCTGCTTCTTGTCTTCTTTGGAGGAGGACCTGGCTTGCTGGCCCTGGAGCCTGGCCAGGGAGGACAGGCCATTGGTTTCTGGAGCTGTGGTCACTGTCCCATTGGCTTGGAGTTCTGGGGAGGCCGACAAGTCATTGGAGGAAGAGGGGTTTCTCAGGGCCTTCTGGTGTGGAGGTGGCCGGGAAGTTCTCCGCTGAGAGGCATCTTTGAATTCTTTAAGGGAGGCTGGCTCGGCCTCTTTAGGCGTCTTTGGCAGTGAGCTGTAGTCGTCATTTTTCTGCAACCGCTCCCCTGAGCTGTCTGAGGCTGGAAAGGGCTCCTGGCTCTGAATGAAGCTTGCTCGGGATTTGCTCTTGGTGACCAGGCTGGAGTCCATCATGGTCTTCCAGATTTTTAACCAGGAGAAGGTCAGGTAGGAAAAAATCAGACAGGACACAAAAAGAAGTAGGACCATTGAGAAAACCTGTAAGGAGAAAGGAGAGGCATCTTACCGTCTACTTAACTGAGCGATTTCTCTCTCAGAGGAGCAGGCCGGCGAAAGGCAGTTAGGTTCCGGGTGTCAGCAAAGGGGCTAGAGGGGAGGAGCCCTGGGCAGAATGGAGACAGGCTCACCTCCCAGCTCAGCCACTAACTTGCTCTGTAGCCTTGGGCATGTTCCTTAAACCCCTCTGGGTCTCAGTTCCTCACCTCTCATTGAGGCACACCAGTGGATGCTCACCACAGTTCACAAACATGCGTGTGAGAGAGCTGAGTGAGATCATGTGTGTTAAAGGACTCTGTGATAGCAGCATCATTCATAAACGTGGAAACAACTCAAATGCCCATCAACTGACAAACAGATACACAAAAGGTGGTATATATCCATAATATGGAATATTACTCACCAATAAAAATGAATGAAGTCCTGATACATGGTACAACATGGATGAGCCTTGAAAATATTACGCTAAGTGAAAGAAACCAGTCACAGAAGACCACAGATTCTATGATTCCATTTATATAAAATATCCAGAATAGGCAAGTCCATAGAGACAGAAGATAAATTAGTGATTGTCCAGGGTTTGGAGGGAGGGGGATCAGGAGGATGGAGGTGACGGGGAGATGATGGCTAAAGGGTGTGGGATTTCTTTTGGGGTGATGACAGTATTCTAAAATTGCTTATGGTGATACGGGTGCATAACTGTGAATATATTAAAAACCATTGAACTGTAAACTTTAAGTAGGTGAATTGTATGCCTTGTGAACTGTATCTCAATAAAGCTGTAATTAAAAACAAAACCAACTCTTAACTATATTCCACTTTGTAAATATAAGGGGATTATTGCTGCTAGCATAATCGTCATCACTAATTATTATTGTTGTTATTATTATGAATATCATCATCACCACCATCGTCACGGCCCTGAAGGAAGGAGGGGCACCACCTTATTTTCTTGACAGCACTAGTACACCTGGCCTGGGGTACACTTACAACTAGAATGGATGGAAGTCCAACAAAAGCAGGAAAAGTCTGTTCTAGTCCAGGGTCTAGAACAGTGCCTGGTATAGTGAGGGCTTAACAAGTATTAGTTGAATAAATGAGCTCAGACCTTCTGATTTCTAACCCATGTCTCTCTCTACCACACTAACTCTGCTCTATTAATGAGTAAATAATTGTTATTTGAAAGAAATACTGTTGGAAAAAAAAAGTAAGCTGAACATGTTGAAATCTCTATACTAATTGTGCCACAATCATACCCTAGAAGCATTAAAAAAGCAGGACTACAAAGCTTAAATCTATCACTCTGGTATCTAAAACACTTTATTTTCTTATTTTATTGTAGCAAAGTATATATAACAAAACATTTGCCATTTTAACCATTTTTAAGTGCACAATTCAGTGACAGTAATTACATTCACCATGTTGTACAGCCAGCACCACTATTCATTTCCAAATGTTTTCCACCACCCCAAACAGAAACTGAGTACCCATTCAGCGATAACTCCCCACCGCTCCCTTCCCCTAGCCCCTGGAAACCACTTACAAACGTTTCTCTGTATGCATTTGTCTACTCTAGATATTCCATGTAACTGGGATCATACAATATTTGTCCTTTTTTAAAACACTACTTTTTTTTTTTTTTTTTTTTACTTCAACACAATGTTCTTAAGAAGAGTGGAAAAGTTCTCAAGATTTCCCAGAACTAAATGATCCCAGTACCTCCTGCAAATGTTCGTCAACAGAATTTGCCAAAACATTGGCAAGGGTACTTTCTAGGTATTACACAAAGTCACAAGGTTTTTTTTTCTTTTAAGTTCATCAAGTTTCTCTTTAAAGGAAGTTCAGTGCCCTCTGGTTGAATACAGGCTTTTTCACTATGGAAGAGGGCATTCGACAGCGCAGCAGGGGCTCCTGTTCACCACAGTCCCCACCACTCTCTATCGCTTTCCCCCACCTGTTACACTCATTTGTATTACATGTTGGTCCACTGTAAGACAATAGAGTTTGTGGCCCCTGCTCTGGAGGGTGGGGGTAAGCTATGTGACTTCTCATCCAGTCAGCTCTTAAGGTGCTCCACTGGTTCAACCCTCCAAGGACCCCATGAGGTCAGCATTATGATTTGCCCCATTTGACGAATGAGGTCCCCGGGTGGTGCAAACCCTGGGTGGTGTAAATGGTTTGCTCTTAGCTACTAACTGAAAGGTTGTCTGTTCGAATCCATTCAGTGGCTGTGGAAGAAAAGCCTGGCAATCGACTTCCTTAAGATCACAGCCATTGAAAACCCTATGGAGTGCAGTTCTACTCTGACACACATGGAGTCGCCGTGAGTCAGAATCAATTCCATGGCAACGTGTTCTTTTTTTTCTTCCTTTCTGGACATCTGAAAAACCGGAAGCTCAGAGAGAGGAGTTACTCACCCACAGACACAATGAATACGCAGGACTCAAACTCAGGTCTTTCTGATGCCCCAGCCTTTCTCTAAACCCACGATTTCTCAGCGGCGACACTACTGACACTTGGGGCCGGAGAATTCTTTGTGGTGGGGCTGTCCTGTGCATTGTAGCATGTTGAGCAGCATCCCTGACCTGTACCCACTAGATGTCCATAGCACCCCACACTCCTACCCCAGCTCCAACTGTGACAACCAAAAAACACTGCTCTAAACACCTGTGCCAACTCCCTCCCACCTGCAGACGATGAGCTGGGAGCTTCTGGAAGGCAGGGTCTATTTAGTATTCATCTCTTACACACAGTAAGTCCTTGTCTCAGTCATCTAGTGCTGCTATAGCAGAAATACCACAAGTGGATGGCTTTAACAAGAGAAATTTATTCTCTCACAGTCTAGGAGGCTACAAGTCCAAATGCAGGGCATAAGCTCCAGGGAAAGGCTTTCTCTGTCAACTCTGGAGGAAGGTCCTTGTCCTAAATCTTCCCCTGGACTAAGAGCTTCTCCGCACAGGAACCCCAGGTCCAAAGGATGCGCTCTGCTCTCGGCGCTGGTTTCTTGGTGGTATGAGGTTCCATATCTCTCTGCTCACTTTTCTCTTTTATATCTCAGAAGAGATTGGCTTAAGACACTATCTAATCTCGTAGCTGTCATCAGTATAACTGCCACTAATCCATCTTATTACATCATAGTGATAGGATTTATAACACACAGGAAAATCACATCAGATTACAAAATGGTAGACAATCATACAAGACTGGGAGTTATGACCTAGTCAAATTGATACACATTTTTCTGAGGGGATACAATTCAATTCATGACAGATGGGCTCAAGCATAACAATGATTGTGAGGATGGAGCAGGACTGGGCAGTGTTTCGTTCTATTGTACACAGGGTCACTATGAGTTGGAACTGACTTGACAGCACCTAACAACAAGAACAAGGAATAGGAAGTGATTCCTAATAAGTCATAGACAGTGACTTCCTCTGTCATTAGCATGTATTACCACCACCCATCTGTCAGTCTATTGTACTATGGTGGCTTACATGTTATTATGATGCTGGAAGCTATGCCACCAGTATTTCAAATACCAGCAGTGTCACCCATGGTGGACAGATATGAGTTGAACTTCCAGACTAAGACAAACTAGGAAGAAAGGGCTGGCTACCTACTTTAAACATTAGCCAATGAAAACCTTATGGATCACAACAGATCATTGTCCAACTTGCTCGCTTTGGACATGTCATCAGGAGGAATCAATTGCTAGAGGAGGACATCATATTTGGTGAAGCAGAGGGCCAATGAGGGTGAGGAGACTCTCAGTGAGACGGATTGGCACAATAGCTCCAACGATGGACTCGAACATGCTGGAGATGGTCGGGATGACACCAGACTGGGCAATGTTTTACTCTATTGCACGTAAGGTCGCCATGAGTCGGAGTTGACTCGATGGCAGCCATCTATCTATCTACCTATTTAGCACGTATTGAGTGCACGGTCTATAATGACCACCACGCTAAGTGCTTACATGCACGATCTCACTGACTTCTCTCTACAGCCCTCTGCACAGATATCACTTACCACTCGCCTTTTACAGATGAGGCTCAGCAAGGTTCAGTCACTGACCAAGATCACACTTTTGGGACCCAGGTGGCCTCACTTTGAGCCCATGCTTCTAACCCTCCTGCCCTCTTGCTCTACATGCAGAATGTCCCTCCATACACTCTAAGTCAAGGGACCTCGCCATGACTGTAGGCTGTGCTGCTGAGTTTCTTAGAGCTGCGGGCTTGGTTTTAAACCTCTGTGTCCATTCTTAAGCAGCTAAACCCAACAAAGGAATAAGCAACAAGACTTCCTCTCTAGACTTCAGGTTCTTCTAGGTAAGGCTTCGGTGGAGACAGGAGAGCTCTGTCCACACAAAGAAAAAGCCTTCTAAATCAAGACCTAACCACTAGAATCCCAGAATCAGGAAAAGCCACAGCTGGAAGGCAGTTCAGGGAGCACTCCTGCCAGGAGCAGAGGTAGGAGAAGGGGACATCTGCTCGGGCCTCTGAAGACTGAACAGGAGCTCACCAGATTGCCAAAGGCGCAGGACATCCCAAGCCGAATTTGCTCATGGCACCAAGCTAGACAGTGAGTCTGTAACTCTAATAGCTAAAGATGGGAACTCTGACTCAAGTTACTAAACCAGGAGCAGCACATTGGTTTTAGAGTGAAGGATAATCATTTGCTTTCTTTAAGACTTCTGTGTCTGAAGAAGGTATGTGACAACTTTCAGGTGACAATGGAGAGATATGTGCCCGCCCTACAAACTGTAGGATTTGAGAAGGCTCAGAGCTTTGTGTAATCCAACAACCTTGCCTTCCCCTGTAATTGTGACCGAAAGCGCCTGTGATGTCCCTTACCCCAGATGAACAAATGATCCAGAAGAGCAAAAAAGTTGCAGTTGTCGCCGCCAAGGAGCGACTCGGCTGTTATTGCCTAGAAACACTAGTGCCTTGAAATAAGTAACAACGACAGTCTAG